TGAGAAATGTATATGGTTCAGAAAAAAACAATTGACTAATTGGGTTCAATCCTACACAACCACTATTTTTGCTGATTTTCTGTGCTGACATAGGCGTCATAAATATTTCATCAGAAACACAGCTGCTCTCGCTCTCCTCTTCCTGCGGGCTCCTGAGTGAGATAAACATTTCTGAGGGCTGTACAGGCAGCAGAAACCATTTTAAATGAACAAAGGGGATTCAGATCCTCATAACAGTTAAAATGTTGGTTCATGTTTATAACTGGATTAGGGTTGTATGGCTGCTATAATAAAATACACAAACCAGGTGGCTTAAAACAACAGAAACTTATTTTCTCATAGTTCTGGAAGCTAGAAGTCTGAAATCAAGGTGTCAACAGGGCTATGTTTTTCTTGACACCTGTAGGGAAGAATCAATCCTTGAATCTTCTGGCTGCTGGTGTTTGCCAGCAATCCTTCGTGTTCCTTGGCTTGTAGAAGCATCATTCCCATCTCAGCTTCTGTCACCACTTGGACGTTGTCTCTCTTTGTGTCTCTATCTTTGTACTTTTCCTCCTCTTCTGATGACACCAGTCACACCCCACTCCCATATGACAAACTCTTAATTCATTATATTTACAATGACCCTACTTCCAAATTCGGTCACATTCTGAGGTAGTGGGTGTTAGGATTCCAGCATGTTTTTTGGAAGACACAATTCAATGCAGGGAGGTCTGCTCACTGCCCTCCCCCAAATGTATGCCCTTCACATGGAAAATGCATGCATCCCATTCCACAGTCCTTAAGTCTCTTCCATTTTAGCATCAACTCTAAGTCCAAAATTTCATCAACTCAAAGTCCCAAATCTCGTTATGTAAATCAGTTATGCATGAAACTCGGGGTATGACTCTTCCTGCAGACAATTCCTCTCTGTATGTGAACCTATAAAACCAGAAAACAAATTACTGCCTCCAAAATAAAACAGTGGGACAGGAATAGGATAGACATTTCCATTTCTAAAGGGAGAAATTGGAAAGGAAAAAAAGGAGTCACGGGTTCCAAGTAAATTCAAAACATAGCAGGAAAAATTCCATTAGATTTCAAAGCCTGAGAAAATCCTCTTTGGCTCACTGCTGTATCCTTTGGGCCAGGCAGGGTGTCGCTCTGCCCTCTTGCACCATCTAAGTGGCAGGCCTGCCCTCTCTACATGAGGGGGTCCCATCAGCCCAGGTTTGAATCCATTGTTCTGCCCTTCAAGTTGTTAACCCTTTATTCCACCCCATTTCTGTCCCTTTGTATCCATGCTATGTTGCCTCTGCTTGTGTAATATTCTCGAAAACATGACCAGTCTTGCTTTCAGTTAATGGTGGGTCCAAGCCATTGGACAGGAAGGCCCTCCATAGATCTCTCCTGGATCACCACATGGCTATCGCTGCCTTCTGCTGAGATGGTGGATTGGATCCATGAGTCACACATTATTCTTTATCCATTTCAGCAAAATGTGCATCCACACCCGTGGCCCTGTCCCCCATGCACGCTATTCAGCTAGGCTGGAAATTTTCCAGATCTTCAAATGCTAGTGCTTTTTGCTTAACGGTTCCTTCCTCAACTTATCTTCCCTTTCACATTTTATTCTGAGCAGTGAGGAGAAATCAGGCTTACTGTTTCACACTTTGCTTGGAACCTTCCTCAACTAAATATCCGTATCCTTCATTTACAAATTCTACCTTCCAGCCAACAGAAGAACACAATTCAGGCAAGTTTTTTTGTAACCAACATCACCCTTCCTCCAGTATTCACTAACATGTTCCTCATTTCCTTCTGAGATCTCAGCAGAAGTACATTTAACATTCTTATTTCTAACAATGTTCTGTTCATGATGACATATGTATTCTCAAAGCAACAGAAGCTTGCTCTATAGCCCCCTCCCCCCAACTCCTTCTGAGTCCTCCGCAGAATAGACTTTAATGTCAATATATCTGGCTTTTTATATCAAGTGCCTCAAAAATTTTTCAGCCTCAACCCATTACCCAACTCCAAAGCTACTTCTGTATTTATAGGTATTTGTGACCTCACTTCTCGGTACTAAAATGATGTTTCTTTGGAAGGCTGGAATAAAGCACCACAAACTGCGTAGGTTAAAACACTGAAAATTTATTCTCTCATAGTTCTAGAGGCCACAAGTCCAACATTAAAATGTCAGCAGAGCCACAGTTCTTTTGAGGCTTATAGAGGAGAATCTTTGCCAGAAATCCTTCCTGTTCCCTGGCTTGTAGAAGCATCATGCAAGCTCTGCCTCCCTCAGCATTTAGACATCTCCTTCCTGTGTGTTTCTATCCTGTTGCTCTTTTGTTTTTTCTTCTTAAGGACATCAGCCAGATTGGGTTAAGGGTCCATCCTTCTCCAGCATGACTTTGTCTTACCTAAATTAATCACATCTGCAACAATCCTATTTCCACATAAGGTCGTGTTCTGGGGTGCTAGGGTTAGAACCTCAACATATCTTTTGATAGGACACAATTCAAGCTATAACACTATTTGTGTAAACTTCTAAATCACATAAGTACCCAATTATATCTATTTCAAAAAGACTCTTCCAACTCTCTAATCATTTATCTTATGCTGACATTGGAACTATTCTTTACAACAATCATCTTGAGAAAACAAAATTCACGTTAAAATCTATAAGCAGTAGCAACAACTGAGTATATGGCAAGGTTCTAACTTCTGTGTGTTTACTAGTCCAGCATTGAGAAACTATCATGAAACTGGAATAATTTTTAGAGCAATTTTGCTTTTTCAATTATGGTACACGAAATAATTTTCCAAAAATGAATTTGGTCTCTAGTTTGTTTTTTTCAAATTTTTTAATTTCTGCATTTTGTTTTTCCTTCAGAGCCACAAGTGAAAAAGGAAACAAAACCAGGTAATATTTTTTTTATTGTTTAATTGATAGAGTTGCTATGGCTTCATTTTAGAACTAAAAGAGGCTTATCACCCACCAGTGGAGATTTACACAGTCTCCCTGATCCTCATTTTTTCTGCTCCAGTGATCAATATGGTTTAAAGCACTGGATTAGTTGAGAATGGGAATATCCCATTGACAAAAATATTAAAAATATGGCTTTAAATGGGTTTCAGCAAAGACTCCAGTTTTTAGTAGGTTTTGTGTTTTTTTTTTGGTTCTTCAAAACTAAGTATGATAATGTTTAATTTGTGGGCTTTTTCTGATAACACACCAGAGTCATAAATTACAAAATTGTAGACTACTGAGATTTAAAAGGAAAGAGCACAAGAATTATTATTATATATATTATTATTACATATATTATTATTATTATTAAGTACCTCCTACAAGTCAAGGAATAGTATAGAATTTTTCTATTCATCATATAACTGTGAGAGACATGAAACATGACAATCACTGCTCATATTTATTATCTGTGGAAACAATTCAATAGACCAAGTTCAGAAATGGTTATTCTTACCAGATTTTCAAGTTAATAAATGTTGGAGTTAGGATTCTGCCCATGCCTGATTTACTCAAAATCCTGGGTGCTTGCAGTAAGAGATTGTCTCAGACTAACAATCATTTTATTAGAAGTAACATTGACCTAAAATCAAGGTGACCTTTCCAAGTTTACATTGCTATTTAGTGTTATGTCCTAGCTCTGGTACCAACTAGCTATTTACCTGAGGCAAGTTACAAAAACCCTCAGGCTCTATGGAAGTTATTTCTTCATTATAAAAAAATTACACAGCAGGATTCTTTAATATCAACAAATTCAAGAATCCAAGTCTCTCTCTCTCTCTCTCTCTCTCTCTCATATGTACACAATACTGTTATTACCCATTTAATTCTTACCAGCTCTTACCTAGCAACTTATAAACTTGAATCTAGTTGCTCTTATAAACAACATATATTTAATGTAACAAGGCTCATAGATGCCTAGCTATTGTTTTCTAACTATATTTATTATGCAGATGAATATATATTACCAGATAGAAATATTTTGCATATTCCCCCTCCCTCCCTTTTTTAAAACCAGAAGCCTTAAAGCCATTTAAAACTTCTAATTAGGCCTAATACCATTTTAAATTTTTATTTATTATTGTTAAATAATATAGTTTTGCAGTGATTTCATTTAATATTATTTATTTTTGTAAATAAAAGTTTTTTTAGCTTCATCTGAAAAAGCTTAAATACGCAGTGTATATGTGAATTTTATCTATAACACTCCTATAGAATCTTTTATAAGACATTTTTAAAACATGTTTAATAATATATATTTTCACATTACTTCACTTGACCATTGTACTCTATTCCAACCATTGCCTAAGCTCTCTGTTTTAGTATTGTTGCTTTAGTATTGTTGCCTGATCTTTGTGTATTACGGATGCTTAAGTGTAAATAATAATTCTTGGTATATGTTTTTTTAAAAAGCTAAAAACTAAGATTTTCATGTTAACTAGAATGACACGAACATTTAAGGAAGAGTTTTTCTCCATGGGCACAGTTGTTGAAGTCACAGAGAAAATTCACTGTATGTTGGTTTATAAAACTAAACACCTGAAAATATTTTTTTCTTTTAATTGTTTTTAGAACAAGACATAGTGAAACCAGAAAAGACTGTTTCTCATGGTAAACCAGGTATTTTGCAGGTGGTATTTGCAGTATCGAATTGTTTTTCGTTCTAGCAGAATGAAGAGCTT